CTGTACTCCTGTCTAACTATACTATAGATTTTATTTTTAAAAATAATTCAAAAGACATTTCAGAATTCTGAAGCTTGTGGAACCCAAACCCCTAACCCTCACCAATTACCTAACCAATATGCAAAACAGAAGCAAAACAGCAGAATCATGTTTATTAGTGTTTGTTGTGCGAGTGGAGTATCATTTTTAGCTGACTGCAGATAAAGGGAAGAGTCAGTGTCAGTTGCATCTGTGGGCTGCCTCAATAGTTCTCCTATCTGGTTACACAATAGTCACCTCACTTATCAAGGTTCTAAAATACTTTAAATTCTAAGAAGCTAAGGTCAAAATACAACCCTTTGTTTTGTCAGAGATATACAGTATGAAGGACAGCAGAAAAGAGCTGATAGGGTACCTGGCACATGTTTTATTTATAGGGCTATTGTGAAACAGTGAGTCAGCTGTGCTATATTATGCTTGTGAAAAATAAGTTAGATAAAATGGAGAAAATTGTTATTTCACTGAAACATTATAAGCACTTATTTCTCTCTCTGTATAAATGTCAGAGGTGTCTTTAGATCTGAATGTTGCTTAGATACACATTGAAAAGGCCATACTAAAATCCTACACGCCATTAAACATCCTTTTAATTAAATTTATTCCTTTTGATCACTTACTTCTTTATCACAAAGCCTATGCAACACATGGACTCATGGGACTAGTATTATATTCAGGTAACTACTGTGTGAGAACTTACCATGTCTATTTTGTATGTGCATCGCCTTCCAACAGGCTTTGCTATTGGTAAACACTGGAGTCAAAGGGTGTTAGGGATGTAATATACTCCCAGCTATGCCTGCATGCAGCATCTCAGACACAACTGTTGACTGGGCAAAAAAGAAATTAAGTGGCCAGGCCACTGAGCACCGCTCACCTTGGGTCCAACAGCCTAACTGAACTAATCTGAACTGGATGGCACAACCACAAACGTTGCACAAAGCAATGTGAGACAAGTGAGACGTACAACCAGATGTTACATCCCTGAGATATGACAGCACAGACATAGAGATGGGAGACCATGAAGCAGCCAGGCCATTTCTTCCAAAGACAGATATTTGTGAAGATTTCCCAAAAATGTTGCACCTAGGATAGCAGCTGAGCCCACATAAAGGCGCGAAGGCCCCTCATCAAAGGTTCACCTGGGAGAACAGCCGAAAGTCCAGACCTCTCGTCGCACCCCCGTCTCAAATGACACACAAGCAGGAGGGGTGGGTGAACACAGACATTGCCTGCCCTGGCTTGTCTGTTGTAAGAACTCCCACTGAGGAACCAGGGTACAAGTACAAGGCCATAGTCTGTAAAATTCATGTTATCATATGAATATGTCCTATAGCTGTGAAGAGGTCTGACCTATCATAGTCAGCTGCAATCAAACAGCCCTAAGGATGCTTGTCAAATAGGACTGCACACATCCAACTGGAGACAAGGACACGGGTCGTACTGTTCTAGCACCAACCTGTCATCTCAGCAACACCAGAGGGGGACGAAGATTTCACTATGAGTGTTACATTTGTACTCAAAATGGCTCAGTGAAAAATGGAGCCTGAGTGCAGGGGCACCGCCATTTGAAAGGGCTAACATGCTACCACCTGATCTGTCTCAGGGTGCCGAGGTGGAGCCTAAACCAATCGCTCTTTTGAGGGCGAAGCACATATAAAATAAAACTTATACTTGCAGCCATTTGTGATTCACATCATGCTATCTCAGTATGTCAGTTCTTTTATCCAAATCAGAATTCCCAGTGGAACACAAACCCTGTGAATCTGGAAGTGAGCTGAGGCCCACTTGTTATGCCATCTTTACACTTTAGACTTCAGAGACTACAAAGGAGTCTGCTGATATCTGAAGTGAAGTGAAGTGTTACCTAACCAAGGCGGCATGAAGTTCCCCTAGTGCTGGTGATATTTTGTTCCATTGTGCTGAAGTAAAAGGAAAAAAGAAAGGCAAAGAAAGTAGATGGTCTGATGCAAATGGAGCCAAATTGAGGCTGTAAGTCTGAGATCAATGGAAATACTACAGAATGCTGAGTCACTTGTATCATTGTATTACATTTGTAATAACAGATTTCATATTTCATTCTGTGTAGTTCCCCGCCTTCACTACTTCATTCTCCACTTTCTACAAGCATATTACTTTCTTCCTGCATGCATAATATGAATGTGTTTCTGTATTATAGCAACATTTGCAACGATATACAAGAAATGTGCCCAAAATCGAAGTTCTCAAACTTTAAAATTCTTTCTTCAGCTCATCAGCTTTTCTTCATTTCCATCCCTTTTTTGCAACTTGTATAGATTTAATGACAAATAATGTTCCTTTATCAGAGTCCTTCATAAAAATAAATCCCTGATATTCTGTGTTATATTCAGTGTTTGGTTTGATATCTGTAAATCCATTACAGTCTAAAACTCTATTAAGATGCGATTGAATTTGGAATTAATTAGTATCCATTTGTCACACTGATGCTCCCGCAGCAATATTGACTGTGTGTTATTTTCCAGAGTTATGAATGTTTTGTATACTTCAGTTTAAATTATTTACCATAATGGAAAACACTGTGGGCATTTTTCCAGCAAAAAAACCTTCAGTTTGTCACCTCAGAGAAGAAACTGTGCTACATTTCAAGTTTATGTGGGGAAATCTATTATATTTCAGTGACATTAGAATAGATTCATGTGTCTTTTTCTATAAGTCAAGTTTTTGAGCATGATGTTGTTTTCACATCTGAATTTGAGGAACTGTGTGTTTTTTCCTGTTAAAGTAAAAAGTCAACAACCTAGTCTTTGTGTAAAGGTTAAAGTCTGCATTCCAGAGGAGAGCTGACAAACAGAGCTGTTGCTGAGGTGGCAGTATGATTTATTGAAGTTACTTTGCAGCAGTGATTCACAGAGGATGCAGTGGTCAAGCAAACACCTTCATATCAGCACACATGAATCAAATTCCAGGCCAAGCTTTAAACAGAAAATTAGACACCCGTTTACATCAGTTCTCTTGTGTATTTTATGAGCTTAGAAATGCACTTCAAGTTTAAAAAGGCATAAATAAATAAGGCAATATTGAAAATAGCATTTACCTACATATAAAGACTGATCACATCAGTTTCTGAAATACTGTCACAGAGAATACGGTTATTCTTTACATCACAGTGCAACATATTTAAGGCAAGGAGAAAGCAACAAGTTACACAACAAATACATAAAAATACATTCAGTAAATCTGTCCTGTTACATGAACATGATGAAAAATAGATCTCTATATGGTCACATGCATGCTGCGAGTGAAAACAACCCACATGTGCAAATTTACACAAATATCTACACAAACCACAGATTCACAAGAGCTTTGATTGGAAATCAACATGAGTCAGAGTGCACTGACAGCAGCGTCAACTAGTCCATCTGATATATGTGCTCAGACTGAGATAATGATTTGCGGAAATTAAAGTTACTTCATCTTTTTTTCTGCTGCTCTGTTTAAAAGGGAAAATCAGAGGTGATGGTCTATATGGTCTATCCCTGATCAGGTTGGGTGTGAGATTACCATCAAGGAGACAAAAACTGGGAATACACACTAGAATAAATACGGTTTTATTCCACCCTGAATTGTTTCCCCATTTGTCTTTAAAATGCAAATAAATGCTTGTTAATTGCCATTTTTGTGCCTGAGAAATTGACTGGCATTTTCCTCATTTCCCCATTTTAAAGTCAAGCTCTAAATGATTTACTTTCTCTGTAGTTAAGCTCATTCTGTACCCAGGATATATCATTATTTGTAAATGTGTATGTCCCCTTTTAACCCAATTAGTGATTTTACAATTGTACTACCCTCCATTTTAGATCCCAGTCAATAAATGTTAAGCACAAGCATCAGAAAACAGTCTGTGAGTAAAAGAGCGAGTTAAAAATGGGAAACAGCAGATCAGCAAAGAGCTGAAATGTGATATTCTTTATTTGTGCTCTTGTTTTGTGATTTCCAAAATAATCTAGCTAGATCTCAGTGCTCTCATCCCATTAGGACAGTTTGAGGATCACAGGCAACATCTCTTCTACAGAGTAGTCAGTTTGAAATGTGTGTTAGATTTCTTTGCTGATAGTTTTACCTCTACCAAAAAAACACACTTTAGTTGAGCAAGATGTTCCCTGTGCTTCCCATGATCTCTTCCTTCATGAATGGCACATAACATACAAGGGAAATCACTAAGGTGTAATAATTTATCTCATGAAAAGTAAATGTTACAGATATTCCTTTACATTCATAATAATGCAAAGCAAACAGAGCATGTGCCAGGGATATACATATCTTTGCTTGCAGTGTGCGAAATACTCTTATGAAATACTGTTATGAGGTGGATTACACCCTTTGAACATGGAGGTAGTCTGTCATATACTATATCAATCTCTCTGTTAGAGATCCAGTATATCAAATACAGTAGAGCACATGCACTCTGGCATTTAGGTTCTGGTTGCAATGCCAATGACATTTCATACCATAATCCATGTAGATACATAAAGTTCTTTAAGATAAGCATGGTATTTCTGATATTCTTTCGGCGTGAACTACAAGATAAGTGTCGTAGGAATATAGACAAGATTTCAGAGTGAGAAAGAGAAAGGATTTGTAAATGAATCACATTTTGACCATGTGTATTAAATATACATGCTGGTAACACTTCAGAACAGCGTTGACTACAAAACAAATGAGCAATTTTCTACAGAGCGGTACTCTATTTTACAAGGTGTTTGTAAACCTACCTCTTTAGAAGCCTGACTCATGAAACCATAGGCAAGTCCCCTACTTATCAATCATTTATAGCTGACTGTGAGAGCACAGGGCACAACAGAGTCACGTCAGTCCACAAGGATTACCGCTCAAAACCTCAAAGTCCTTGTTGGACAAGTTTAATTTAACTTGCAGATTTTGGTTGTCAGGGTCATAGCTGCTGCTCACATTTAACAGGCAGCTCACACGCACAAGAGAGCGTGTGAGCAGCAGAAAATCTCTTTGAAGGTTTTTCTCATCTCTTGGCTGCGAAAGGCGTAGATGATAGGGTCAATGACAGAGTTGCACATGATGAGGATGAGGTACATGTTGAATTGGGACATGAAGCAGGTGCAATAGGGGTTCCTGGGGCAAGTGATCATGAGGATGAGGTGGAGGAAAAAGGGCGCCCAGCACACCACAAACACCCCGATGAGGATGGTGAGGGTGATGGCGCCCTTCATGTTGGCCCGCTGATGGATGGGCGCGTTCCCTGGCAATGCTGCGATGCGCTTCATGTGCAAACGGGCCAGCAGGAACATGTGGACGTACAGTGACGCCATGAGCACCAGCATGGTGAAGAACATGGTGATGAGGCAGATGAGCACTGTGGTGCTCTCTGAGTAGATGATAAACAGGATGCCGGACACAATGCAGCATGTCCAGATGCTGCTGATGACCAACATTGCTCTCCGCAGGGTGACAATGTTGTGGTATCGCAGCGCATAGAAGATAGTGATGTAACGATCGACCGCGATGGCCAGCAAGCTGCAGATGGATGCTAACAGAGAACTACAGATCATAGAATCAAACACATTGTCCATGCTTTTGATCAACTGGACGGGGATGGTCAGCTTGCCTCCGTTGATGAGCGCTATCACAATAGTCTCAGAGGCATTGGAGACACTGACGAGCATGTCAGCAACAGCGAGGCTACAGATGAAGAAGTACATGGGCGAGTGAAGGTTCTTGTTTTTGACGATAGCAGCAACAACCAGGATGTTCTCCAGCAGGCTGACAATGCCCAGAGTGAGGAAAACCTCTGGGGAAATCAGCAGCTGTTCATAGCATCCTGCAGACGAGTCTTTCTCCTCGGCTGATAAGTCTTTGTCAAGTGGCAAAATGCCCGAGGTTTGGCTCCGGTTATGGTAGCCATGGATCAATCCATGGGCTTCTGTGGTGTTCATAATTTCTCCTTTTAAATTCCCAGTCCTCTTGAGTTAAGGCTTCTTTGTCCGTTGTTATTTGTCCATCTGGCTGGGCAGTGTTAAAATCTCAACATGTGTGCTTCTCAGCCTCATTATCTGGAGGACAAGCTCGGCACCCTTGAGAGAGAATGAAAAAATCTTTGCTGGTGTTCCTTCTTCCTTTTTCACCTTTCAAGATTGCCAAGAAAGGGAATTTTCTTCAAACATCTGCTGCTGTTATGATTCTGAGCCAAAAACAATCCCATCGCTCCCCTCTCATCTCTCCACTCTGGAGAAAATGTAATAGCATGAAGTTAAAATAAATGTTCCCTGGAAATGATGTAGGAAAGATAAGTGGAAGGAGGGAGCCAGAAACACAGAAAGGTGCGAGAAGAAAAGGAGTGTGTGTGAGACTGATTAACAGTGAGCAGGAAAATGAGACAGTGAACTAGTACGCTCTGATCTCTCTGTGCGAGTGCAGGCAGAACATCCCTTAGCAAGCTAATGTGGTCTTTCCTCTCTCTCTCTCTGTCTCTCTCTCTGCTATTATACCAGGGACACACACACCCCCTGAACCCTCCTGGTAGTTTTCTGTCCTATCCGCTTGCTGATAAGGTGGGAGGAGGAGCAAAGCTTGGCTTGACGCACATTAATGGGCAAATTTAAAAATGAATGGATTTAAGGTGCATTATTGGTGCATATATGGAATAGAATGAGATGTCTTAGGTTTCAAACTAACAGTAAAAACATTAAACATATTAAATGTGGATAAAGTGGATACATAGAATTATTCTTATTATTTGTAGTTTTATATTTAAAGTTGAATTAATTGATTAAAAACTCAGTAAGCTGACGGACACAGCACTGAAATATCATCGGCGTATAATGTAGTTTTGGTTAACACATTAGAGCAACATAAGCTTTGATTTTGAGTCGTGTTTCTGCCCACCTAATGAATCCAATATTAGCTCTTGTTTTAGCTCTGCTTTGGTCTCTACTAACTCTTGAGAACAATATCTGGCTCCTTAGCTAAGGAAGCTCTGTTGGTTAAAATTCTCTGCGCCACTACAAATGACTCATTTTACATTACACTAATTAAAAACTAATTGTGAACAGCTGTGGTAGAAGAAGTACTCATATATTCAACTTAACATCCCCTTCCACTCAAAACTATGTTTTCCTTCTTGTTCCTAGAATTGGATGTTGTTGGATTTCAGTGTGCAGTAATGTATGTGCAGAGTTTGACACTAGAAGGATGTTTTCACATTCATCTGATGAAAGTGGAAAGTTTCTCTGTGCTCATTCAAAATTGGATTTTAAGGTGAGTGGCCTATGAGCATTATTTCCTAAATGTTCACACTGGACCTTTAAAGTATCAAAAGGAAAAGTCTAATTGCTCAGAAATACAGCAAGCTTGAACTCAAAAGCACAACTCACAGGCAGACAGGTTAAGATAAAAGTTCTTGTTTACTTGACTCCTACCTGAAAACAGGTAAGGGTAAAATCCTGGTACACAGTCAGATCAGGCGAACTCATCCAATAAAGGGTTAGGTGAATGAGAATCATGAATCCGTGGATCAGGCGGTGGGTCAGGCAGACTGAAGGAGGCAGACAGAACTAAGGCTGCAAAGCTGGGACGAATGCAAACTAGACAATCTGACAAAGACAGAGCTGAAATGGGCTGATAGATTGCAAAAGTAGTGAGGTAATTGGAAAAGGGGGAGCATGTGGGTGGGAATGGTCAGGTGTTGGGAATGGGGGTACTGTAGGGCAGGTGGGAGTGGTTGGACAGAATAAATAATAGGATGGAATGGAAATCTAGCTCTACAGCTGCCAAATGTTCCAGTATGTTCACCAGCCAGTTACTAATGTTGTCATTTGGTGATGTGGTGCCAGCATACAGTTGTTTTTAAGAGCTTTTTCAATGGCAACAGCTTCCTGATGCTGCTGTAAACTAAACTGAGAACCAAGAGTTGTTTCAAGGTTTTCTTTTAATACACTTTAATTGACTTGATGGTGTAAGTGTATCTCCCTGGTTTCAAGGTCTGCTCTTTTACAACTACGTCATCCTCACCAATGTACTGTGCAGTGCATTCAGATTTACAGCCCTGACTTACACATCAGTATCATCTTTTAGGAAAAGGGACATTTTAATAATAGGGTTTTCCTTCTGCTCTGACATTTGCGTTAAGTCAAGTACAGAGAGTTGGATAGATGAAACAAAGAAAAACAAAGCAATGCGCAGACCTTTGTTGACAGCACTGGCTGTCTTGCCAATGAATCTGCCAGAAAAATAATACAAGATAATGGCAAACTAAATGTTAATCAAAGCGGCTGGTAAAGACATCAGGATTTTATAGTGTCCATAGTGTTCCATACGTTGTGACACAACATTATAATTAAATGTATTTATCCAGGACTAATTAACTGTTTGAGAGATGAAGAATGGCACGGTGACTCAGATACAGTCAATTCTAATTTAATAGTCAAATGCCACATTTACACATAGCCGGGTATTTAGAGAAACAAATATTTCCCCCCCTCCGTTTTCAGCAATAACATCGTGCACACAACATCG